CTACTACTACTACTACTACTACACACACACACACACACACACACACACACACACACACACACACACACACACACACACACACACACACACACACACACACACACACACAGTTTTTTATTCCTTAAATGTTTTTCTCCATTGATGGAATTACTATCACTTTTTACACTGTTCTGACTTATTTTTTAATGTGGATTTTTGAAGGGATCTTCTAACTTTGTAATATGAAAGGGTTCACTTAACAATGTATTTATTCCTTTTTATTTAATGTGTTCTCATTAATGTTTGACTTTAATGTTAATCAGTGTGTTATGCTCATTATGATGAGTTTTTTTTTCCTTTTCCTTCCTATTGTCTAGATCAAGTTACAGTGAAGATGAAGATTCTCTCATTCTGCCACAGCTCCAGAGCCAGCTCCACTCTCCCTGGTTTTATTGTTTTCTTCCTTATTTGTTATGTTCACAAGATGGAATCAGGTAGGAATCCGCCCTGTGTCTGCTGCTTCTTAGAGGATTTATTTAGGTCCCTGAAGTGTCTTAACAACATGCTTCACTCAGAGTCAATGTAACTGCTCACAGTGTGTAAACTTTACCGCACAGCAAGCAAACACCTTCATTATCCATTGTTTGCTCTGATTGTGTTGCTGCTGCTGGGTTATTCTATTTCCTCATGGAATAGTGCACACATCTGTCTTTTAAGGGATTGTCAAGGTTCCCCAAAGCATTGGATAGACACTTATTGAAGAGTTTAATAACAACAATAAATAATAATAATAAAATAAATAAATTGACTTAGTGGGTTTCAGATGTAAAAAAGATCAGAGCCCTAATTTGAGACTCCCATGTGCCCAAAAACATAAGAATCAAAATATATTGATGTCACATGGCTTTTTTATTGGGCCTGTTAGCTAATATATTAGCTGTAGTATAACACCATGTTATTAGGTATTATGTGCACGGTAGCCCTATAATATACATGATAGAAGTGTTGGGAAGTTAACTGAATGTATTATGCTCTTCCCACAATTCTGTTCACCAATATCAAGTATCCTGCCAAACTTTACAAAGCTGAAGTGAGTGTTCACCATAGAAAATAAGAAGTCTATCAAAGCCAAGATACATAACTAGTGTGTCCTAGGCACTGGTTGGGATGTACCTCCACACCTGCCTGGTATGGAAAGTGGTGTCCAAAACAGAGATAAGGAAGGTAAAAAACAACAAGTTAAGGAAAGGAACTGGTGGGTTGGATCTTGGGTGATGTATAAAGTGTTTTCTCATTTGCGAATAGCCCTGATATAAATATAAGTGCATGGGGGGGAGGGTATTTTTGAAGCACACCTTCTGTGTAAGGTGAGCACGCTGCAAAATAAGAATTGCTTCCCAGAAGGACAGTATGTTTGTCTCCTTTTTGGAGAGCACTGTTTTGTCTTTAGCCAATAATTTTGGCTAAGTTTGGTTATTTGGTCTCTTGTTCATATGAAGTACTGAACCATAATAATCCAACAATTGGCTCTAGCAATAGGGCTATGTCACAGAAATACCTTGGTGAAAGAACTACCAAGTATGGCCCACTAGCCCTACCCTTATTCCTGGTGAGGCCCAGCAAATTTCATGGCAAGGTCAGTAAGCGTGTCAGTTTGAGATCTCTCAGAAAAA